AGTGCTACAGAAAAGTAAATCAAGTTGCCTGTACGCTGATGAAAAAGGCAGATTATTTATTTTGTGACCTGTTTGTATCCTCATTCATGGAACTGGGCAATCTCCATGTAACAGATAATGGCGTGTATAGTTATCTGTAATCTAGTATGGCAAAGCAAAGGCACACTGCTGGATTAAAATGAAGAAAAGTTGGACACAGTCATGGAATGGAGGACAGGCAGAGATAGTGGGGCAGTCCAGGCCTACCTCTTATTTTAAACAATAGTTCCACTCTGCCCAGCTATTAACACCTTGCAGTTCATGTTAGCTGTTCAGGCAAAAGAAAACAACAGAAACAGTTTTAAAATTAATTTTAGTTTTATTTAAACAAAATGCACACACAAACTCAGTTTTAAACAGACTAAAGCATGCTCCGGATTGTGGCATACTGTAGTAGCCTATATTAGGGAAGACAGGCAGTGGCCTCATATCATCAAGATATCCTTAGGTGATGTGCAAATTCAACAATGCACTCTCTCTCTGCCATCAGAAAAAGGTATAACGGGATAAAACCAGACAAAAACCAACAAAAATAATCTAATATAGTAAAACAAACTCATTCTCCAAGTATAGATCCTAATGCAGCTGAAACAGCACTACCAGCACATAAAATAAAAGGCATCAGCAGGCTCAAGAGAATCTGAAGATTTGAAGTTCAAAAAAGTTAGTGTGGTGAAACCCCAGGTGGGCTGAAAATGCTCAGCGGCCACAGAATGCCAGCTGACTTGATGGTGGGAGGGAGAATAGAGTGGAGTATCCTGGAAGATAACAAGACTGGATGGAGCCCTGAAAGAAAGCCCTCCACATGGGTAGAGCTCCCACTTGTCATTACTATAGCCCCATCTCTGGTCTTTAACAAAATCAAATGCTTCCAGCAACATGCAAAAGAAACAACCTGTCATCTAGCATCCCTCTCCCAGTACTTATATTTATGGATATACCAAGAAGGAAAGTACACTCTGCAATCATCTTGGCTGGCAGCCACTGATGGCCCTTTGCCCCTACAATATGACCAATATTTCCTTGGGGAACTAATTATTCAAACAGTTTGCTTAATGTTCTCATCACAATGAATTCCACAGGTTCAGTGAACATTGTGCAGATAAGTCTTCCTTATATGTAAGTTCATATTTTGACATGTGACACTAAAAATACAATCACTTGAGCATTTCTCCTCCTATTTGTGTCACATATTAGTGTTGTTAACATAGGACATACTGCATCAGAGAAATTTACAGTATAGTCTAACCAAGGCTCTACATTTGCATTATAATAGACCAATTTAAGAACACACCAATTTAAGCCCCCAGTGTGAAAATACCCTGAATGTTGTTTTTCTGAATGTACAAAGCATAAGAGAGAATTTTTTATTCAAATGCATGTACTAGCTGTTGTATATTTAAATTGCAGACCCAAGAAATGCAACAAAACAAAACAATCCCCCCCACACACACACACACACAATTTATGTCTCATTTGCGAAAGCCCGTCTTCCATCCATACTGCAGTGAAAGAAGTAGGGCTGCCGGGGCCAAGGTGAGCAGGGTGAGCACCAGCTTAGCTAGGCCTCCTCATGTATTTTCATTAGGGCTGCAAAGTTTAATGAATTAATTCACTGAAATGGATTTTTAAACACTTTCACTAAAAAGATACACTGATAAATTGGGGAACAAAACTTTAATACATTCGTTTTAATAGAAAACAATACTGGTAAAAACTACCACCCTTTTTAACAGAGGTATTCTCCATCCTCTTACACAAAAGACAGAATGCGGTATTAAGATGGAACTTACTAGTTAAGATACAACTTGCTAGGATAGCTTGCCTTCCCCAATCTGACATTGTTGGACTACAACTCCCATAACCCCCTGGTGGGAGACTGTGCTAAGACATATGGATGCATGATTCAAACACAAGGAAAGTTTCTTCTTTCACTTTCTCTCTTTTGCTACAGAACTTTTTGTCTTCACTCCAGGCTAGATGCATACGTAGTTGACTGACTGATAATAAACCAAGTAAAATCTCATATGATTTGCCCAAGATTCCCTCAGTTGTGTGAGGAACACACTTTTGTCACATGAGGCTTATAAGAAGTGATTAGGAATAGGCTCACTAGGGCTGAAGCCCAAAATCCTTCATTTGGAGCCCTGAATCTGTAGGCTCTGCCCCAACCACCTTGCTCTCTATGGGCACTTGCTGAAATAAAGATATAAGGGTGCTGATTACCGTGCCTGAACCGCTGGATTGGCGGGTTATTTGTCCACACGTGCTGCACTTCCTGCTGCTCTCCTCCCATGCATCTTTGTGAGGGTTTTGTTTTTTCCCTGAAATCAAATGCTCTCTTCACCCCTCTTGCGTGCATCCCTTTCACGGACTAGAAACGGCCTTAGGAAACAGACTCCCTTAAGGACAAAGTCACATTCACTTATGCAGAAAGAGAAAAAGAGAGTAGAGCAAATGCAAATTTGTGGGCGAATGGTCCTGTAAACCCGAGCCTATGTTCGTTTCAGGACCCAGAATGGCCCCAGTTCTTGCTCTATCCGATCAGGTCTGGATAAGGTGGACATTACCAAAAAAAGAAAGCAAGAAGAGGAAAAAGCACACCGCCCAAGATGCTCATTCACAGTACAAATGCCCCTTTTCTTCCACACGGACAACTGCCGTGCACACACGCGGCGGGGAGGCCTGAGACTCACTGCGTCGTATGAAAGGCTCCCTGGCTCACCCTTGTGTCGGCCTGCAACGGCCGGGAGAAGGCCGAGGGCGGCAGGAGTCCTAAGCGACTGCCCGCCCAAAGGAGTCGCCGGCCCAATTAGAGCGGCAAACCGGGGCGGACAGGCTGAGGGGCGGGGACGCGGTCCCCTAGGAATGCGAGCCCGGCCCGCGCTAATTAGCGGCCCGCCAGTCGCGTCGCTCTCGGGCACGTGAATGCAGCAACCAGGAAACAAGCGGGCGCGAAAGCGGACGCGGGGCCGGCCGGAGTCAACGTCGCGGCACAGCGAGAGGCCGCCCGCGCCTCTGCTCCTCCTCCGGCAGCGCTTTGCTACCTCGCAGTCTCCTCCACCGGCCGCCTAGCAAAGCTACTGGAGTGCCCGCAGAACTAAGCGGGGGCGGGGAGTATAAAGGCGGGAGAGCCTGAAGGAGCTCCTCGCTTTCACCGTCGTCGGGATGAGATCCGGCTTGTGGACGGCGGGCACAGCGAAGGGGCGGAGCGGCCTTTTTGTCCAGCGCCGAGGAAAAGGTTGCATTCCTCAGGTCGGTGCCCCGCTGCTCACCGGCACCGCGCCCGCCCAGCTCTGAGGAGTGTTAAGGCCGTAGCGGCATGGTCACACGTGATGCTAAATCTGGTTTGTAACGTGCGCACAGTATACTGGCTAAAAATATGTCCTCCTCCTTGACCGCACTTCTTTCTCACGGAACAACCTTCACACGTGGGACAAAAGACGCGCAAGAGAGATTGCAGGGGGTGTGAGTGGCGTATTTATCCAGGCCGCCCCATGCATCTTTACTCGCAAGTAACGGCTCCCCGAGTTCACAGCGGGACTTCCTCCCGTGCGTATTGCACGTGAAAGCCACCCGAGAGCGCAGTCTTGCCTTGCTTTACTTAGAAGTAAGCCTCTCTGAGAGTTCAGTGGGACTCGGTGTGCAGCGGACAGCCGCCGTGGGGTTCCTTCTTCTGCACGCGCCCCAAATTAGCGAACCGGACTCCTAGAATAAGCGTCCCTCAGTTCGTAGTGCCGTGTGAATCCGCTCTGGGACACGAGCGGACAGCGCGGCGACGCCACGGCACACCTGGGGCGCTCAGCAATGCCCCCCCCCCGCCCGTGCTGGCACGCGATCCACTCCCCACCGTCAAAGCCGCTGTTAGTAACTTGCGTATTAATAGTGACATTGGCCGCTTTTCCATCAAGAAACTGGAAAGGGGCCCTCGGAGCGGCTCAACTTTGACGCTTAACAGTGCAGAGGGCTTCTTTGCGCAAAAGTTTCTATTTGTTTGTGTTACTCGAAATACGCTTCAAATCGTCTGCAGAGCAGAGCGGGAGCGATCCCAGCAGCCCGGCGCCGTCCCGAGCCCCGGAGAGGCGCTCCCTCCCCGCGGGTTTTTTTCCTCTGCCAGCCCGCTCGCAGCCCTCAACTTCGGGGCTGGGTCGAGCCCACTCGGCCAGTGCCCGCCGGAGAGCCGGAGCGAGCGCTTCCTCCCCGCCGCGATTAGTCACGAGTCGGAGACACCTTGCCCGGGAAGCGTCTCCTCCGCTCGGACAGGGCGACGGAAGGGCCGCCTCGGGTGGGCGGTTTCTGGCCGTGCGGAATAAGGGTGGAGGCGGGTAGGGTTCCAGCCGGACCCGGCCGGGCATCACTCAAGCTAAGGAGCGGCTTCCCCGAGCAAAAGCGGGCTTTCGCCTCCCCGCCCCCGCTTACTGCCGCTTTTCTGGGTATCTGCTCAACTTTCCAAGCGCGGCGAAGCGAAGTGCTGAACCGGCCGCTTCCCGGGCGGAACGAGAGCGAAGGGAGCCGCGCAAAGTTTGCTGCTTGAAACATTTCTTCCCGCTCCCTTGGCCTTGGTTATTATGCCCGGTTCCTTCTCCCTCCCTCCCTCTCTTTCTCACACGCGCACACTCACCTCCTGCTACGCACCCATGTTCAAAAGGACGGAGAAAGCGGAGCAGCGTGACAGCGGCTCAGACCCACCCTCACGCTTCCTCACCCCACTCTCCCGCGCCCTTCTCGGTGCCCCCCCCCCGATAATACACCTTTGCGAACACAAAGGCCAGCCCAAATGAAACAGGCTACTCCTTGGACAGAGTCGAAGCTTGCAATCCGGGGATTCGTCCCGTTGACTCAAAGGGGCGCCCATGAACGCCCCGGAATTTGGAATCACAATCAGAAAGGCGCATGGGCAGCGGGGGTGGGCAAACGGACTCCCGTCACAGGCTGAGCTTTCCCTGCACGCATACACGTACCTTTCTGAATGGAGGCAGGGCAGGGGCAAATGCTGCCCGTTCAGACGGTACCCAGAAAGATCCCTCACTCCGCTGCTCGCGGTAGGATCCCTGAAGCCCTTGCTCCTAACTCTGGGAGGCAGAAGCGGGGAAATGAAGGAGCCAAGGAGAAATCTTATCGGCCCCAAACTGGCATTTCTCACCAGCTGTCCTGGTCACGGCGTCCCACGGCCATCCCGCTCTCCTCCTCTGGCCAAATGTTAGCAGGCTGCTGCCGAGGCACCTTCGGGAATCCTGGACTTCGAATTCAGGATCCGAGGAGAGCTCTCCGCTAATCCATAGAAATGCTGGCTTCGCAACTAAGCCGGTTTCCAGAGGCAGCCAAGCCGGGCGGGACTCCTTCGCAGCCGAGCGGTAGGACTGACTTTCCCTCGCTCCCCTCGCCGCTTGTCCGAGTGTCAATGCGCGCTTGCCCCCTCTAAGTTCTCGCTGCAGGGCGATCGGCAGGAGCGCGGGAGGAGAATAGAATAACACTCATAATAATAACGGGGGGAGAGTATGGGAGCAGAAATAGTAATTAATGTGGCCTCCTGGCCGCTTGGCAAAGAGAAAAAGAAGGGGGGAATAAACCACCACCCTCCCCCTCCACGCGCACAAATCCCCCTCTCTCACATTGAGCACCCAAACCCCATTCAAACCCTATTCAGTCAATTGGCTTCTGCGGCCTGCAATTTGCATAGCCCCGCCCCGTCCCCACCTCCTCGGGCGCTGGAGCGGGGGCTGGACCCGGTGCCGTTCTCCTCCCCGCCGCCACCTCTTTTTCCACCTGTACCGCCCCTCCCTCCGCTGGGCTTGGCTTGGCGCGGCGGCGGCGGCGGCGAGCGAGCGAGCGAGCGAGCCAGCCGCGGGATTCCAGCGCTCTCGCCGGGTGTCAGCTAGGTCGGCTCACGCAACTCTCGAGAGCGGAGGACTTAGCGCCCCCGCCCCGCCCCGCCTGCACACGCACGCACACACACACACCAAGGACGCTCTGGTTAGGCTCAGTTTCAGCAGTTTCCCCCGCAACGTCTTCTTGCATCCAGGGCCGAGCTTTACTTTTTCTCTCATTAGGAAAACACAAGAAATAGGATCCTGATCTGAATCCATCGAGGCGCGTGATCCTTTTTCGTGCAGGCATCTCTCGCCTGGCTTTCCACCTTGCTTAGAGCTCACTGGTGGCGAAGCGCCCCCCACCCCGTCACCTAAAAATCGAGAGGGAAAACGAGACAGACAAAACAGGCGGCGGGGGGGGGGAGGGGTGTGTGTGTGTGTGTGTGAAATAAACAAACACCGCGAGTCCTTTGTCTCTCTGGCTGAGTTATTCCGTGGCTTGCAAGGGAGTGTCTCCCGTCCCATGGGGGTGGGGGTGCGGGTGGGGGTGGGAGAGGAAGGAGGGTGGTGGATGGGGCGAGAGACAGAAGGCGCGCGGGGGGGTGGTTGAAGTGAGAGAAAGAAGCAGAACGCGAAAGGAAGAGAGGAAGGACACCGGAGTGGAACTGAACGAATGATGTGGGTCGTGGAGAGAAGGATGGGGTCCTTGCTTTGTAGCCTTGCAGAATTCACCCAGGCAGAACCTTCAACAAATACCCTGCAACAAAGAAAAGTCGGGCGTAACTGACAGCGGGAGGGAGTGTTATCTCTCCCCACAGCCCTCCCCACCCCAGCGCCTCGTTTCAGCAGCTCAGGCAAGCCTGCTTAACCCTTTGGTGGATGGGATAGACGGGAGCCCTACCTCCAGGTCTGGGTGGGATGGACGTGAGCCGGGCCTGAGGTGAAGATGGCAAGGTGTGGAAATGCTGTGCTGGTTATGGGACTCAGTTTTTCTCCCCTCTCTCTTTGGAGGGGTCCTTCTGCTACAGGTAGGGATACCTGACCCTGCCTTCAGGTGAAGGAGCACGGCACACATTCAAGCTAAATCAACACATAATCTGCAGCCAATGGCTGCCCCCACCTTTGAGTCAAACTAGAAAAGCCTGCACTTCTGTATGTATCTAAGATTCAAGAAGGCCTGGATTTGCCAGGAGATCTGTTCCACCTCAAATCAGGCTAACATCATGGTGGAGGAGAGCAGCCGCTGAAGATCACCTTTATAAAGGTATATGTGCTTTGGGTGCATACAGCCCAGAATGTGTAGTGAGAGCTGCATAGCACGGTACATGTTTCCTACCTGTGACCTGTGTGCTTCTGGCAAGACTGATACTGTTGCATTCCAGGTAGGAGAGCCAGTTATTTTGCCCCCCTCCCTGCACACACATGCACACACACACAGAGTGGAGAGATTACTTCTGAGCAGGGAAACTGGCAAGCATCAATGTCCCTAAGAGAGTGAGTGAGTTTTGAGGAGGCTGGGTACAGCTATGACATCCATCACCCTGTGGACAGGCAATGACGGACCAGCCAAAAGTTTGCACTGAAAGCCAAATGACAGGTTCTGGCCTAAGGCTAGGCAAGGAAGGATGCATCATCCCCCGCTGCTTCCTTCGCCTCCCCCCCCCCCCCGCAATCTCTCACAGCCATGAATAATTCATGATTGCCTCTTTGGCACAAGGTAGTTCAGTAAATGCTGAAGTAACTTTTCTGGCTGGACTCGTTGAGTAGTTGGAATGTCACAGCAGCCCTGAAAAATGGCAAAATCAGGGAGCTTTCAAAGCCATTTGGGCGCAACCCCACCCTCAGCCCCCATCCCAGTCAGTCAGAGCTAAGGATCAGAAGTACCCTCACTTCTCCCTCTAGGCAAGTCCTGGGGCTGATCTTTGGAAAGCAAATCCTTAAAACAGTGGTAAAGCACTTGGTTAAACTGTTACAACAGGTGCTCTTAGTGTGTGTAGGCACCCACAAAGCCCTCTCTTTCCTGCCCCTTTCATTAGCTAAAAAAAGGCATAGGAAATGTCAGGGTACTCTTCTTTCTCCCCCATTCTAACCTCTAGCTTTGCTCTTTCTCTCCTGCCTACCTCTTAGCCTTGTTCTTTCCCGCTCCCTCCCAGCCTGCAGCTTCACTATTGCCTTTGCAGTTTCCCCTTTGCCCTCCTCTTTCCTTTGCAGTTTCTTCCCCTCTCCCAGCCTCTAGTCTTGCTTTTTATTGCACCCCATTTTATTTATTCATTTTTCGATTTATATCCTGCCTTTTTCCTACAAAGGGCTCAAGGCAGCTTACATCATTCTCCTCCTCCATCTTATCCCCACAACAACAACCCTGTGAGGTAGGTTGGGCTGAGAGTCTGTGACTGGCCCAAAGTCACCCAGTTGGCTCCATGGCTGAGCAGGGACTAGAACCCAGATCGCCTGAGTCCCAGTCCCACGCTCTTAACCACTACGCCACACTGGCTCTCACTTTTACTTTTTATTTATTAGATGTATATCCCACCTTTTTTCCTTTCTTTTTAAAGAACTCAGAATGGCTTGCATCATTCACCTTCTCCTCCTCTCAGGACCTGTGGGGTAGGTTGGGCTGGAGGCTGTGACTGGCCCAAAGTCAGTATGGCTGAGTGGGGACTAGAATCCAGACCATCAGAGCCAGATCCGGGCTCTTGACCACTGCACCACACTGGCTCGCCGTCCTTTGCCTTGCTCCCTTCCCCTGGACTCCCAGTTTCTAGCGTCATCATTTCTCTCCCCATCACCACTGCTTCAGCTCACTTTTGACTAGCCAGGTCCCCAAGCAGTCCTTGTGTGACTAGCCACACCCTCCATGGCAGCCATTTTGAGCCACTCCCTCAAACGTGCCCTTGGGCTCAGAAAGGCTGGGGACCGCAGCCTAAAGCATCAGTGTGACCGGTGTTTTGCAGGTTTGTGCATGCACATCGTTGCCAGATCACATTGCTTGTGATTTGAACGCAATGAGCAGGGCTGGAGTCAATGGTTGGGCACCATGCAGGGGCCCGATGGCAAGTTCCCGTGGAATTTCCTCTCTTCTCCTCTGTGGCAACCTGCTTGCTCACCTGGTTCTTGCCCTGGGCCAGACAATGGTGGTGGTAAGAAGGAGAAGTAGTGGGTGCCGGCTTGCCCACTGGCTCTCTGCCTGCCCAGCAAGAAAGGGCTTGCTTGCAATGAGGAGAGAGGGGAAGAGGCGCCAGAGCAGCAGGTGGCCTTGGTGATGAGAAGGCAAACTCAGTGAGAGAGGGGCTCTCCAAGGGGTCTGCTCAAGGGCCCTCAAACCCTGGAGCCAACATCAACAGTGAGTATACTAATCCAGCCCAACAAAAAGCCGAGCATTGAAAAATACAGTTCAAGCCCACAAAAGCCACAGAGAAACACTTTGAACCACTTCAGGCATTGATTCCCCCACTCCACCAAATTATATGTAAAGGAAAATTTGTGACAGGCATCTTTTCCACATAGGGTACATACATCAGGAAACTGCTGCGTGAATAAGATAACTAACACTAACCAGGGCAGCCTAAACCTAAACTCCCATGCTACTATTTATTTATTATAGGACACTTACAAGATCAAAGGGTTTCTCACTGATTAATCGTTTGACTTTTAAACAATTGATTAATTAATTTGCTACATATTTACATGTTAGCAGAACTTCAGCAATGCTGTTTCTCTGAGGTATTGAATGATAAATGAGGTAACACAGAGCTTAATAAACAAAATACTATACATTAGTAAAAAGTCATTCCATCATGAATCTTTTTCATTCTTTATTGCAGTAACACAACAGTCAGTCAGTCAGATTATATATATAATTTTACCAAGGGAAAAAATTGAACATAGTGATCAAATCAGTTCATCATATGTGCAACTTAGAGCAATAGGTTTTAAAACCTTTGGCAGCAGTAGCAAATTGAGCTGCTTGATTAGCTGAGCAATTACATAATGATCCGTATCCACAAATAATTTATACATTTGCTTGAGCAGAGTTCTATCAGATGCTATATCTTATGCACCGTATATCAGACACAGAGGTACAGAAATCTTTTCTTTCAATGAGCATATCAAAATTTTGCAAAATATATAATACTTTCTCTTTGTGAAGCCCCACTTATGGAAAAACATAAAAATATGGGAACATTTGCATACCTCCTGTCCAGATAAGAAGGTGGCATAGTCTGGAAATGTAATTCCATAAATGTTTGTCTCAGAATATGTCAAAATAGAGGAATAAGCCTCACACTTGCAATGATAGTACCTCCTGCTATTATTACTATTATTTTGTTTCTATACCACCCAGTATTTGAAGCTCTCTGGGCAATTAACAATAGCACAGAAAATATAACAACATGTAGCATAAAATAGAGATAACAATAAAATGTCATTAAAAATTAAGTACAAAATGTAAAAGCCAAATTTAAAACTTCAGTAGCTAGCACAAATTAAAACAAGTGACATAATGGACCTGATATACTATTTAGAGCTTATTGAATGCCTTCTCATAGATGGCAGTCCTAAGGTGGTGCCAAAAGGATTGAAAATAAATTATTGGTTTATTACATTCCATGCTACCCAGTAGACAAATTTCCTGGGTTTGGGATACTGGACACTCCAAGGGGCCGAGCAATATTTCTCATGTGCCACCTTCCGGTCCCATCCCTTCAAGTAGGATGTAAACTGCCCAGAAAATTTGTCTGTTGGGTATAATGGACATGAAGGAAGGAAGGAAGGAAGGAA